TTGTTATATGAGTGTACATAGGTAAGGTTGAAAGCCTTGTGCAAATGGCGGACCGGTGTGCGCCTTGGAAATTTTTCAGTGGTACGGAGAACGTTGTCCTTTGCTTATAATATCTCGGGACGGACTACGTAGAAAACACCGTTCCTCTGTTGCTTGCATATCCGATGCAGCGGGAACGTGCTTACCGAACCGTTCCCTAGTAACGGCCGTATATTCGTTACTAATTAAGAATTGGCTGCTTAGAAGCGGACGTCTTTGCGTTGTCTGTTTCACTGCCGTTGCCTATAAACGAATGTTGTTTCAGAGCCGTTCGCTAGCAACGGCTGTTTCTGTGGTCCCACAGTTCTTACTTTGAGCAAATGTGCTACGACACTTATAACATTTTTAAAGTCACATTAATAAAAACTTTTAAAAGATCTGTTAATTCTCTTCTTTTCCACTACTGCCGTTATTGATTACTCTGGATAAATAGATTTTTTTTAGGAAACAAAATGTTTTGGTGTCATTGGTAACCAGCCACATTTGATTTTTGAATATGATGTTTAAAAGTGCACAAGCGGCGTTCATTTTCTTGACTCGTATTTTTAAAGCCATTACGACTGCTAGTCAGTGAAGCTTGCTCTAAAATATTTGAATCTAAGAGAAATTAAATAAATAGCAGTTTAGGGCATTACATAACGAAGAATTTCTCGATTCAAACAGAACACGCAATGTACTAAAACCGAAGAAGCTAAGAGGTTATGATGGACTCAGTATGAAGCTTTAGACAGAGGTGACGGCTCCGTACAGAACGCTGATGGAAAAACTTGTAAAGCGGCCAGTATAAGTCCAAGGAGAGAAAGTCATTAGGATGAATGTTGGGCAGTAGATGTGAATGGAGCTGTCTCAAATGCTGACCAGTGATAAACTTCTTTCTTTGTGGGGGAGAGGTGTGGCGTTTGCTATGTCGCCACGTTGTCAGTATCTGAGGTTATGTGCCGGCTGAAGGTGGGTTGATTGATGAATGATGAACTGGAAGGGATTTGGAAGGAAGCAACATTGACTCAGTCAAGGTACTTAGTTGGCATTTTCCTTGAGGGACTGAGGACAATTGCGAACAACCTCAGCTAAGGTACCTAGTGTCCCCGCCAAGTGAGAAACTTTGTTATGATCAGTTTTGAACCAGAGACTTAATTAAATTGTTAGTTTACTAGAAAGTCAGGTACAATTGTATTTGGGTTTCGTTTTGAATTACTGAAATATTTTGTTAAGAGTTATGTCTAATTTTGTCTATTACAGCTGTGCCAGTCAAAGAAATTAAAAAAAAAAAAGAGATGAATGCGAGTTAATGAAACTGGAACTTATCGTTTTTATTTGCTTGTTTTTCTTACACAGGGCCCGCCACCTCTGTCATAGTTGCAGAACTAAGACTAGTTCTGGCAGCCGTTACCAGGGTGTGCTGCAGTTGCCTTCCAGAACAACCGGGCTAGACACACGTGGTGTGTATTCATGTCTCGTCGCAGGAGGAAACCGCGAAATATAAGGTCAGCAAATAAGTCTCTTGCAAATGTGGCTGTGTTCGGATATTTAGCAAGCACAATATCAAACCAAAATGACACCCACCGAGAAATTAAAAAGCCGTTTTAATTCGGTGAATACTTGTTACATTGAGCTCGGAATCTTTCCTTTTCCCGCCTTATATCTAAATCCCAAAACTGAAACTAATTTAGCCTGTTCTTTGTATGGGCACAAACGTTGTCTGTGTCCATAACAGGAGAGTCTACATCAAGGTATTTTAAAAACGTGGTACTGAAAAACATTTTTAACCTACGAGGGAGGATGAAGAAAGCACATAATAAGGTGCTTCGTAATTTATACACTTCAAAAGTGTTCTTAATCTTATTCTCATTATTCTTCGCGTTATGTCATAGGCAGCCAATCCTCTTACAGATCCACACAGTCCTGCTCAAGGCAGTTCCTATTTGACATAGGCTGCTCAAGCTTCTTCCTGTTTCACATAGGCCTGCGTCAGCCTATTCCGTTTTCACACAGGTCTGCTCAAGCCCGTTCCAGTTTCACACAGGCCTTCTCAAGCCGGTTCTAATTTCACACAGAACTGTTCCAGCCCCTTCTGATTTCACACAAGCCTGCTTCCTTCTGTCCCGGTTTCACATAGGCTGCTTAAGACTTTCCCGATTTCATACAGGCCTGTTCAAGCCCGTTAACTTGCACACAGACCTGTTCAAAGCCCTTCCAATTTCACACAGGCTTGCTTCAGCCTGTTCCGAGTTCATACAGATCTGCTCAAGCCTGTTCCGATTTCACATAGGCCTTCTCAGGCCCATTTCAATTTCACACAGGCCTGCTCAAGCCTCTTCCGATATTAACAAGGTCTTCTCAGTGCATATCTTCGAAGTTTTTTATGTGTCTCGGCATGGTTTTGGCCTATTGTGTTTGTGTTCATATATCTGTTATTACACTTAACACTTACACTCATTTTTACTGATTGTAGTTTTACTTGTCTCTTACTTTCACTATTTATAGTGCATTTACATATAGATAAGTAGGCAGTGCTACCGCTTTGCAATATTTCAGCTGTGTTTCTTTCTTTGCTTTACTCTGCGCGGGTCGTCTTAATGTACTACATAGCAAAGCATACCCATATATTGAATTTGTTATGTGCATCACTTCATACGTACTTAATTTGAATAAGGTAGATGCTTTAATTTAGCATTGATGTCAATATTTCTTCGTTTGAACACCGTAACTTCTCCCTATAGAAATAATACCAAAGAAAGATGAAGTCACAGGAGGTTGGAGAAAACTGCATAATGAGGAGCTTCATAACTTGTACTCTTCTCCAAGTATAATTAGAATGCTCAAGTCAAGGAGGATGAGGTGGGCAGGTCATGTAGCACGAATGGGGGAGACGAGGAATGCGTATAGGATATTGGTGGGAAAACCAGAAGGAGACCACAGGGAAGACCAAGGCGTAGGTGGGTGGACAATATTAGAATGGATCTTAGAGAGATAGGATGGGATGGTATGAATTGGATAGATCTGGCTCAGGATAGGGACCAGTGGAGGGCTCTTGTGAACACGGTGATGAACCTTCGGGTTCCATAAAATGCTGGGAAATTCTTGAGTAGCTGCAGAATTGGCGGCTCCTCAAGAAGGGCTCAGCTCCATGAGTAAGTAAGTATTAGGGCCAGTTCAAAGAAAATGAGACAGGTGGAAATATAGTACCCATTGAGAAATTATAAATATATACAAAATTTTGGTTGAAAAACATGAAAGAGGACGTTTTATTGATGTAAAATAGATTTTAAAGAAATACGAAGTGGTCGTGTGGATTGCGTTGAACTGATTTAGGTTAGAGTCAAATAACAGTGTTATGAGCACATTGGATTCCATAAGGCACCGACAATTTTGGCAACATTCAATAAGGAAATCTGGAAGTGCCCTTTCTCTGGTTACAGTCGACCTGTCTACTGGGCATAGTTGCGTTGTTAGTAACATGTACCGGCAGGCGTTTACGTCAACAGCGACATACCCACCCGTAAACCAGCTATTTCTGCTTCCTTCAAAGGTAGGAATATTTATTTTTCCACTGCGTCCAGATCAGTTCTGGGGCCTGCCCGGTCTCACTTCTAGTATGTATCAGTGTTGTTACATCCTGGGGACGGAGCGCTGAACTCTTCACTCTCTGCACCTCGTACCGAGGTCTAGAATGGCTGGAAATTTGTAACCGTCCTTAAGTAATAATTTCATGTCATGGCATGGAGAGAGCTTTCCCCTTACCTTCACCTTCAAACCATTATTCAGTTAAGCAGTTAAGATGTTATATATTTGATTTATTTATGTAAGGATTGATATTAATGTCCATAAGGCTTTGTTTTGTCTTCTGGTTTGTATTGGTGCCTAAGATGCGAGCGAAATATAATATCGAAGATTTTCAATAGCAAAGTGCAAAATAGATTTTTTTGACATAAGAAAATTAACTAACAACCAGACTATGGAAGTTACAAGACGTAAGGATCTCAATTTGTACCTTCGTGACTGAACTGAGAAAATTACATAATGGAGAACTCATGACGAGTGCTCCTGGACAGACATTACTCATAATGCTTTCACTGAACACCTGGGATTTTTGCAGCTGATAAAATTTAATCAGTATTTTCGAGTGCATGTTTTTTAATCTAACACAGTTTTCACTTACTGACAGCCTAAGACAGAAAACTTGTCTTCCACTTGACTGGCCACTGAGAGACAGCAAATGAGGAGATACGCAGTAGCAATTACTTGTACAGTCAGCAGATAATAATGAGTCACATTGAGGCACTCACATGTTGCAAGCTGAATAAAAATACACAGTACATGGGGTACAGAAGTTCTAGAGAACATTACAAAACAGAAACTTCGCTTGCTTCGAACAGCAGTAAGGCGAATCATATGGTTCATATCCCGGCGGGCATGAGTTAGAATTCAGTTCGGTGAGCTGCAGTTTTGACTGAAGGATTTTGTCATTTTCCTCAGCCCTTTCAGGCAAGTGGTGATATATCTTGACGTAGACCACAACTGTTTGATTTTATTCCTCGGTGTTATAGAGACGGTTCATGAAGCCGAACACTACCTGCATCTGGTGCCGGGAGCTGTAACTACGCTCCACCATATGGCTTCAGCAGTTCATAATTTACATTGAGACTGCATATGCGTGGAGCACGTGGTAGCATAGTTAGTCGAGGCACTATGCAACAAGCCGGAAGGTCTCGGGTTCGATTCCTGATGAGGTCATTGGATTTTTCAGTTGACCTAATCCTTCCAGCCGCAGTATGTCCCTGAGGTCTGCTCAGCCTCTGACAGAAATGGGTTCAAGGAATCTTCCTAGGGGTAAATGGCGGCCGGCGAGTAAGGCTGACAGCCTTACTATCATCTGTGAGTCGATTGTCTAGAAAATGTGGAAACCTCGACGTCTCACCACACTATGGTCCTCCACGGCCCGTTACAGGAACAGCTTTACATTTTAACTTTTACTGATTATATTTATTATTATCTGAGTCATATGGAACTTTCGTCACAAACATTTATAGTGCAGTATGAACCATGTACATTATATATTTGTATACATTTAGATAATATGCTATCATATATGTATTTTTTATTTTATTTAAAACTAAAAACGGGGAAGTAAACATGCCTGGTTGCAAGAACTCCTTGTTAATACATTGACAGGCCCATGCCTGTGCGACTGGGGTAACAGCTACATGACTCAATAATCGATTTATATTTGAAATGCTTTAAGGGAAACAGATTAATTATGCACAGTAAAATGTATGAAGCTTTTCACCTACTTTAAAATACGTAATATTAAGTTTCCCATCTATTTATTTCTGGGGTGGCCATTCCTTATTGCACCTTCCCAGCGATCTTAAAGCATGTGACTATATGATTTGAGTTGTCGATCAAGGCGAGCTTCACCGTCAGTGGAATCTGAAACAAATATTTGATGCTGTTTTAGTATGTAATACACTCTATTTCGCGTCCACGGCCTTGTGGCTCACACAAATTCTGGCCACTGTGATACCTGAATCAATTAATCTAGACAAGTTATCGGTTACTTTCTTCGTCTGCTTAAAAACGATTCTTAAACTGTATAAATTATGAAGAAGAAGCAGTAAATAGGACAAAAATGGAAGTAAAACAACTGTGACGGATATAAATGGTTTTCTGTATGTGTCACTAGGTAGCAGCATAGTCCAGTTTCATGACAGTATAGGTAGCAGACGCGCATGCTCATGTTCAAAGGCTGATTTCAGTAGTCAAAGTAGCGCTCGTGTTGAGTATACTACTAAAGAGCAGCGTTCTGTTGTCGGCTTTTCTGGAAAGAAAGGACGAAAGGCAAAGGATATTCATAGAGAAATGTCTTTTGTTTATTGCGGGAAGTGTTTGTCACACAAAGCGGTTCACAACTGGGTCGATAAATTGCTTCCTCAGTGGCAGAAGTTTCGCTGATGACGGAGCGTTTGAAACGGAAGTGGCTGAGACAACAGTTAAAAGTCGTCTATACGGCGGGTTTCGACGTACTGGTAAAGCGACAGGACAAGAGTTAGAGTATCATATATTTTATACTTTATGTCAATTGGTGACTTATTTACTGACTGCCTCGTATCTAGCTCCGAATGATGGGTTGAGTGCAAATGATGTTATGGGAAAGACGCAGAAGGGGACGGTCGTGGGATATTCTGAGACCTTGCCCAGGATCCGAGTGGGGAAAATTAGGAATACCACAACAAACCGTTCTCGCTGTGGGTTTCCATTAATCAGTGACCATCACTAATACCTACCCCCCCCTCCAACCCCTCTTGGGCGAGTCTTGCTGACAGTCCAGGAAAGTTATACTTACCGGAGGGTATACTGAGAGGATGGGCATTTTCAGCACGTACGTAACTTTCTCGTCCTTTGTCAGTGGACACGTTCTGTCCAGAAGAGATTTGCAGGCGTTCGTTTGTGGCAACGAGTAGTTCACTGGAAGTCCAGAGATGATGGCTTGCACGTAGGGCGTCAGGCTCGTTATGTCGTGGTCTGGAAAAAACTTCAAATGTAACTGCCGTCCAAACAACGTAAGCAGTCTAAATATTCCCACGATTTATTGCTACAAACCTTCAGCCGTCGTAAACCCGAGTGCCCATTATTTTGAATAAGAAGTACATAGGGCGATTCAGGAGGAGTGTGAGATGTTCCACGGATGACTTTGAATGAAGAAGACTATATTAACATTTGTTCAGTTTGGATCGTTTAAAAAGTTATTGCACTTTCAACTTAAGGCAAAGATATAAGAGGTGTGAGGGGTTTTTATAATGTAATACACAATAACTTCAATGTTATACTTAATAATACTTATTTAATAATGGAATATCCCACAGAAATTGTTTAGTGTCCGCTTGACACTTGAATTCCACCGCTAAAAATAGTGTTGCCGTCCCTTCAACAATACAGTATGTACAAATATACTTTAAATTCTCAGAGTAAAAACTGATGGTCCTCTGGCAATGCTGCTTGTTCAGCAATGTCATGACAATCCATTTGTACATACTGCACTGCGCAAAAACACTATCAGCGTACTGTATTGATAGTCATCGATGCATTTCATCATCTTTCACACCTTCAGCTCACAAATATTGAATCACTACACTTTTCTTTATTTTGTGATGACGCAGTGTTCGAAACGGCCATGTTGGAGATATTAGTGGTGGACAACCCAATTGTGAAGGTGAAATAAGTCACTGTAGTCATAGAGAGGGTCCATGTGTGTTCAGTACTAAGAGAATTGCAAAAAGGGAAGATACTGATGTTTGGTAGATGCTCTCTGACCTACCATCATGGAAACGTTTCTGCACCAAAGAACTGATGAATGTAACGACTGAGATTGAGGGACCCCTCCTGAACAACTCTTCATGTATGAACTGTGAGGTTCTCATGGCGGTCACCTGAGATGCGATGCCGTGGGATTTGGTAGATAGATACCTATATCATATTCCAGAGGGCCCTAATTTATGAAAACGTACTTGAACTTAACAGGGATACATAAATATTGTGACATGACTTCTGAAGGCAGGAATAGTGGAGTAGAGTACATGTTCATTGCTAGGCAAAAGCTCGGTAAACACCTTCCCGCAACAACGAATATGCAAGCAGCAACAGAGGGATTTTTAGGTAAAGGTGTTTTCTGTTGAGTCTTTCACGAAGCTATATAAAGAGAATCCCAGGCCAACTGAGAGTTAGTTGAGAATATCCAGTCGAAGATACTTGAGAAGAGATAGCATCGAGATACTTGGCAGTTGCAGCAGACAATTGGACTGAGAGTTCTGGAGGTGATAGTCGATAGTTGCCAGCTAAGGGAATTGATAAGAGTTCTGCAGGACGACTGTGGCAAGAGGACCTGAACGTGGGAAGCTGTAGAATCTCCGCTGTTAGAAACCGTTGCCAGGGAGCTGCTGATTACGACGCAACAGGCTGGAAAATTCTTAGCGTATGCTGTGATGATTTGTGAATTTGGGAGATTAACGATAGTGCTGTAATTTTTTAATTCGCTTATTGGGGGTGGAGTCCAACTGGGTCCACTCGGCACGGCGGCCACTGATTGGCATATTGTAGCCTGGCTCGGGTGATTATGATGATGGAGAATTTGGTAGAATGAAGATTGGCAGGAGAAACCGAAGTACTCGGAGGAAACCTGCCCCAGCGCCACTATATCCACCACAAATCCCACTTGACCAGACCCGGGCCGCCGCGGTGGGACGCCGGCCTATAATGCTGTAATTATGTGTAGTTTCGAGTGGTGTCAATAAACGCAGTTTTCAATCCATAGTCTGTAGACACATCCCCTGAATCGTGACAGCATGCAAATCGCCTTATGTTGCTGGGCTGTGCATGTACTTGCAACCAGGAAGACTAACCTACGCACAGAATTGTTTGGGGATATCGAGAAAGTTGGAAATTTGAATGCGGAAGGAGTTTAAGGAAATAAGTTTTGATGATCAAAGTTTGATGTAATTGATTTAGGATCGTGTAATTTGGCGAAATTCATTGACCAGTGATGTTGGAATTTCGGGGTCTATTAAAAGCTAAAGTTCTCCCCGTAACAGGCCTTGGAGGCCCATAGGGTTATGAGACGTCGAGGCCCTCACATTTTCTAAACATCTAGTTCACAGATGGCGATAAGGTTGTTAGTCTTACGCGTCAGCTGCCCTTTACTCCCAGGAAGATTCCTGGTACTCATTCCTGTTAGAGGCTGAGTCGACCCCAGAGCCATAGTGCGGCTGAAAGGAATAGGTCAATTGAAAAATCCAACTACTTCATCGGGATACAAACCCGCGACTTTCCGGGTTGTAGCATAGTGCCTCAACCAACTACGCTACCGGGTTCTGGTACAAGAGTTAGTTTTAGCTACTTGAATGTATGACTTCAGAATGAAGAATATTGTGTTGCTTATTTGGGTTTTGCCGTGGTTTTGTCACTCACCGGGGATGAAATCCACTTCAGCAGCCATTTCTTTACCACGCACGAACTTGCAGGGCGGTTCATTACAGTTAGTCACCCTCAGCTCGACTGGAGGTGGCTCCTCGTCTGAACCTGTTGAGGTGAGCACAGTAATTGTTAGGTGAACACATATTTAGTTCAGAGTCTGAGAATGGGTACAGGTGTTCCTCTACTTATTGTCCTAATGCAGGTTTATAGGCGCAAGGAAACTGAGCGTTTTGGCCCTCACGAGGTGCAGACTTCAATGAAATTAGGTCAGTTTTCCACCTGCTGTTACTTACTTCACTGTTAAGCCGTGCCATAGCTCAAGCTGTTAGTCGCTGGCTTCCCATCGCGGCGGCTCGGGTTCGATCCCGGGTCTGGTCAAGTGTGATTTGTGGTGGACAAAGTGGCGCTGGGGCAGGTTTTCTCCGAGTACTTCGGTTTCCCCTGCCAATCTTCATTCCACCAATTGCTCCACAATCACCCTCATCTATCATCTGGCTCTGGTACAATAGGCCAGAAGTGGCCGCAGTACAAGGGACGTAGTCCCACCCAACTAGCAATAAAAAATACTTCACTGTTAATTTAGATTTTTATTTAACTGAATTTTATTACCACCATCGTCGTAATCAAACATTGCATGTCTAAAAAAAAGCTGAACTGTGGCATCAGGTCGGGGTTTCTTAGACGGTGAGCAGCGGGATTTGCATTCGGGTGTTTTGAAACATAGCTAACAGTAGTTCACACACCTTATTAATAGGAGTCCTGTTCAACCCTAGTTACTATAGGATTCTGACGATGGTGTATTACACACTGATATGTTGGGTTTTTGGACTTTATGCATCGTCCTGGTTTTTAAGATAACAAATAAAAACACGACGTTTCGGAAACTGGATCTGTTTCCGTCCTCAGGTGAAGAAAAAGGGAAACACCTATTCTGTTGGGTCCGTTAGAAAGAGCTAGCCTCAATCACTGGTCCAGTGATTGAGGCTAGCTGGACCCAACAGAATAGGTGTTTCCCTTTTCCTTCACCTGAGGACGGAAGCAGATCCAGTTTCCGAAACGTCGTGTTTTTATTTGTTATCTTAAAAACCAGGACGATGGATAAAGTCCAAAAACCCAACATATCACTGTTCAACCCTGTTTATCATCTCATCGGGCTGTTGTCTTCTTTCTCTGTTAAAGTCTTTTCTCTGAAAATTTATGTTATTCTTGCGCTTGTTCATAATAATTGCGTTTAATTCTGACATAATTTTTCGGTTACTTTGATCACCCGTACGGTTTCATGAAGCTTTAATCCGATTCATTTTCTGTGAACTGCAAGTCATATCAAAACACTTTTATGACGATAAGCATAGTTACATAATATAACGTATGTAGCTATGCAACGGCGCGATAAACACCTCGCTTAAGATCGCGCAACAATGAGACGAATGTTTATAGCTGGTTGTTAGGCAGCAGTCAGCGCGCCGGTAGACCGGCGAGATAGTTATCACGTGACTTGTTTTCTGTGTGGTCTGCGCTAGGCAACAATGGAGGGGCTATGTTATCTGTGCGTGGTCCATGCCGAGAGGATATGAGAGAATACGGGAATGGAAATTGACTTCAGTTGAGTTCGGAAGTTCCAAGGGAACAGCAATATGGCCAGAAGAAGAATTAGAAGGCTTAGTCTGTAATGTTACTTGTGCTATAGTTACAGTAATCTTGAGAGTGTAAGAACTAATTGTAGTAGTTATGACCAGTGAATATCCAATAAACCGGTTCACCAATCCAAACCCGTGTCTTAGTCACTGAAACACGTGACAATATGAGAGTAATATGTTCATAGTTTAAACATACATGCATACGCACATACCGGATTTGCAAATTGTGGCCATCCCGTTGCTTATTCGTTTAATGGTAAAATAACATTTTATGCGAACTTACATTTGTCAAATGTCGTGGCCAATACTGTGGTAGCAAGGACCAGGAATGCAAGTAGTCTGATCATTCTTCTCACTTGGAATATATAAGCTCCTAATAGCGTACTCGTTCTTTGCAGGTGAAACGGAGCGCAGAAATCTGGAAAATAAGAGGGGAATTTACAGAGTGAGATATTCAAAGGGCGTAGGAATTGGTTCTTAAAGTTCTCACAAAATATATATTCTCGAAATATTCACCCCAAAGTGATCTACACGACAGTATCCATACGACGCGCTCTCATACGTATTGTCTAGCAAATTACACGAAGCATAGTCCCTCTTCAGAAGCTGACAGTTACTAAGCTAGTGTAGATATATGTCGGCTTTTATGGCAGTTGAAGACTCACTGCCGACTGGAACTGTTGTTGGCGAGTTGATCCCGGTCCAAGTCCTATTTCTTTGATGCCCGTTTTAATATTATCCTCTTATCTATGTATGCCCAGGCATCCCAAATGTCATTTTGTCTTCGAGGTTTGTCAACTACACTTGAGTATGGTATTGACCTATTCCTCGTGCGTGTTAAACATCCTGCTTATGTCATTTTATTAATTCCCTCACACTAACCAATTCATGTGAAAAATGCAAATTCAGGACCCTCTCGTTAAGTATTTTCCTCATACTACTTTTGCTCTCTTTTACTGAGGTACAAATTCCTTTTCAGCGCTGTTCTCAAGAGCCCTCAGTCTTTGTGAGAGACTTAGTTTCATGCCCGTATAAATCGATAGGTAAAAGTGTAGTTTAGTAAATTGTGACATGAAAATCGATTGTCAAGTAACAGCTGTGTAAACAGGCGGTAGCACAACGCCCATTGTTAAGGAAGAACCCTGTGGACACATTTCCTTTCACCGGAAACGCGATTACACTCAATAATGGAAGCGATGTTTTCTGTGCTGTCCGTGCCGGGGCTATACAACGAGGAGTAGCAGTTCAGTTGGATGAGTCAGTTGAGAGCTGCAGTTGTGAAAATTGGGAGGCCGATAGCTGAGACTGGGGACAGTTCGGGAACCCAGAGGAAGGGAACATCCACCTTTGAAAGCCATTACCAGACAACGGCTAACTAATGCCGAGAAGGCTTGATGGGTGCTGAAGTTACAGTAATTTTTGGAGTATGTAACTCAAGTGAGACTGTCGAAATTATTTGTATTCACGAGTTGTTTTAAGAGTTCAATAAATCCAATTAACAATCCAAGCCTCTTCTCTAGTCACTACATGACAATATTCTATTCAGTATTTGTTAAATAGGAGACTTTGAGATGAAACCTGCTGAATCGAATCGTAGCAAACATTTCCCCGAATTTAATAAACTTGCGATTTTTTTCACGAATTACGCAGCTCCCGTCGTAATTGTTCCGAGGTAGTTGAATTTTGTCCCTTTTTTGAAAGATTCCTAATTATTTTTATTTTTTAACATACATTTTGTGTGTGAGCCATGATCATGTTCATAGTTTTCTGTGCGTTTATTTATAGTTTTTTCCGTACTGAGCTCTTTGTCTTGACACTTTATGGTGACTTGTTTTCACTTCACAAAATAATAGCGGTGTGATACAGATGCTGATTTATTATATTCTTCTTCTGGCCTTACTCCTCTGAACGTCTCCTGTTGCCATGTTATAAAGCAGAGTTAAAGAACGGCGAGATTAATGCATCCCTTCACCTTAAACCATCACCAAAAGGAAATACGAAACATCAAGGCATAATACGGCGGGCGGGTCGCTATACAAGTCATCTTGTTTTCTTTCCGAGATTCGTGTTTTTGTGGTCCACCGAATTATGTTTGCAAAAAATTAGGACGGCGATGGTGAACTTTAATTAGCTGGAAAGAAAAATATGAAAGTAAAGTTGTCCCGGTGCGTCACTGTTTAAGCGCTATGAGATGAAAATAGGAGGTATAGCTCCACCTTTCTTGACCTCGGCACTATATGGAGGTGCGTGGTCAGCTTCACTTCACTGTCGCTTTACTTTCTGGGAAAGAGCCTCCATCACGCTTTGGGTAGGAGGCTGGGTGGGCCTCAAAGTCGAGCTGGTCGCTATGGAGAAGAGAAAAATCTAGCACTACCGGGAATCAAACCTGAGCCGTGCAGTATGCGGTGCTCATAAACTGTCTTTAGGAAATATATTTTAGTTCTGGAATATCTCAGGGTAAAGTGCTGTCACGTGTCCGAGGTTCCGTGACAAATAATGAATGGGTTGCGGAGGAGATGAAGCGGTTTTATTGGATAACTCGTTTACAATCATATTTGCAGTCACTCTGAGGGCACGTACATATACAGCGACATCGGTCGTACGGAAGAATGTCGTACGACCTCCTTTTCACACTACAGTGACTTTCTCAATTTCGTAACAACAATGCAACGATAAGAACTAATTCAGTAACGCGAAACAGACGACCCAGGATTCGTAAGGATGAAGTCGCGTAATGTCAATCACAGACCTGGATTGCAGCACCCACTGAGCCTGCGACAGTCGGAAGGCTGTCGCAGTTCGTGTGGTTTGGTCCGACTGCTCTCTGACTGTCATACGGTAGATGTCGCATGTCTTCACGTATGAAAGCTAAGACTACACTTTATATTCTACTACTTGATGCGACATGAACCGCACGGACGTCGTACGACGGATGACGCTGTGGGTGTACGTGTCCTGACATAGCTTCTTCCAGACGATGCGACCTGACTAATCCATCGTCTCTGATCTGACCTCCGATCTGTTGTCTCCTTTTCTGGTCTTCCCTGATCTCATCTCCACTCCAGTCTTCTCTGATCCTCTCTGTCCTGTGTTTCGTTTTGTCTCTTATCTTCTACAGTAGGAGGGCCTATAAGACATCTCGAAATGTATTCGATGCAGCGGGAACTGCAGTAGCTCCGACCTTCCTTCCCGTGGTAACATGTGCCAGTGCACGTGTTTACAATTGCCGCCTACGCAACGAGGTATTCACTGTTCCTTTTTGTATGGGAAACGTAGCTACGGATCCGTTGTCTAGCAATGGACGTCTCTCTATGCGCTTTCTCGGAAACTTGTTTTAACAGCCGTTGTCAAGGAATGGACGCCCGCTCAGATATTCAGTCTTTTAGGCGATACGCCACATTATAGTGGTTGAATCTTGTCGTGACAGCAATCGGTGTGTTTACTTAACACCAAAGAACAGTGAGCACGCCTCTGCTCTACAAGAAACTAGCACGTTACTGCCTTGCGCTTATTGAAAATTCAGAGGAAAATACTCCATTCATAATGAATAGGCTTAGGCTATAGGAATAGGCCTATTTGTAAACATCAAGAGGNTCAACTGCTCTGAAGATGGAGGCGCTACGTTCCTCCGAAACGTCGGCCAACACGAAGAATACACGGTGCCTAAACCCAGAAGACGACTCTCTTCATCAAGAGGTGTGTTCGTCTCGAACAGGCAGGTCTGCTGCTGAATTGCGTTTGGTTACCACATTTCGGCAGGAGCATATTTTAATAAGCCTTTCATGCTGAATATAAATCAAAAGTAAACCCCTTCTCTTTCTCTCTTTCCATTGTAAAATAAATTACTCATTAGTAAGAAAGAGCAAGACATTTTATTTTCACTTATACGTCGTTCAGAAAAGAACTGTTCGATTCTTCTTAATGAGATATCTCGTCCATGTCACTAAAGCTGTATGTTTTGTCAGAATAATTTATGAACGGTCTAAGCAAGATCAAACACTGGGATCGTGGGTTAGAATCCCAGTGAAAGCATGGATACCTGTGTGTGCGTTTATTCTGTGTTTGTGCTGTCCTTTATGCAGGTAGCGGCCTTGCGGCTGATTGATACCCAGTCAAAGAAGTCCTATCAACTGCGGTCAAGGTCCAACAAAGGGCTGTAGAGCCATAGATAGATAGATTGATAGATAATCCTTCGAAAGCGCGTTACATTTGGTTTGGTAAGATAATAAGAATGACTTTCTGGTTGATACGCAGAAAGGTCTACATTTGATTCTCGTGACAGGTCGATCGCAGGGTGACTGTTAGCTTGGACCCTTACGATACTCATGGTACGAGTTTTCATGTTAATAACACAAGTATCAGTGCTTAGTTGAACGAATAATTTATTTCAACGTTACTAGTGCAGTAGTGATTGCAACATAAATTTATATCGATACAAACAATTTTCTTTCATAATCTTTCATAACTAAAAAACCGCATATTGATGGTAATGAAGTTGTATTATTGCGAATAGTCATCTGGATGAACGTAGCTTATGCAACAACTTCTCCGTCGATACCGAAGCAGCTAACTACTTCTTCTGAGTCTCCATTAATGAGTGAAGCATCAACTGAAAAAGGCACCTGAAACAAAGGAATATTATCAGCGGGTGGCCCACGCACATCGCCCTTCGCTGACTGTCAGCGCCACACCCTGCCTTCGTGAGTACCAAGTGAATATGAAGTCGGCAATCCTCTGTGGCCTTAGAGAACTGTAGCAATGGATGTACAAGTTGATCAGCACTCACAGACGGAGGAAAGCATAAACATGATATATTGAAACAAACTAATACTGCACGTAAACATTCGCCTATATTATGAAAATGCTTCTGCTTGAAATTTAAGAGGATTAACAGAGAAATTATAGTGTGGGTACAACCGCAACATCTCCCACTGTCCGCCCTACTGGCTGACAGTAGCGAAGCTGACTGATTACGAGTACAAGCGAGGATCGCACTCTTAGATTACACAGATATCCATGTTTCACTTGACGCTCGTGTTTCTTCATTCTTTTTGTTTACAAAGATGAATTCACATGCATCATTCCCATATTAGAGGTCTGTAATTCCGATATTAACTAACTCCGTGTTAAAGAGACTAATCTGAAATGTTGATAATTACTCAGCTAGTCAGAAAATTCCCTAATATTATAGAACCCAAAAGTATATCAAAATATAGAGCGGCCTCCGTAGTCTAGGGGTAACGTTCCCACCTCATGACTCAAGGTACACGGGTTCAAACCCGGCGGAGGTCGTCGAATTTTTAAGGGCGGAAAAATTCAGGGAACAAGTCCTCCGGGAGGGACTTTAAGCCGTGGGTCCCGTGTCTCTAGGAGACCTCTGAGCTAAATTAGGCAAAAAGTTTCCCGCCCAAGTAGTTTCCAATGCCTCCGGTAGATGGGGAAGTATTAGGTACCGCTGTCAGACGAGGGCCGACCTCGCTGACAGAAAGGGACTAATTATCAGATACCACTGCCAGTAGAGGGTCGAAACCTCGCTGGCAAAAAGGGGCTGATAGCGAGCACCAGAACCGGTAGGGTATGACTATTAGTCGCGGTGCATGGGGAAATCCACCCCCTCAATACTGAATAACTGACTTAATACAAAAATATTCCCATTGGGTCATATCCTGTGCGACATCATTTTAGTCCATGCATCCACACCCTGCCTATCATCTCAGATCCATTTCAACGTCACCCTTCAATTTGGGCCTACGTGTTCAAGTGGTCCCTTCAAATTCAGTGTTTTTCCGTTGCTAACATATACTATTCTGTTCTCATATCCATCACGCTTAGTGTATGTTTCGCTTTGATTTATTCGTTCTAAATAGTGTGTGATAGTACATTATTATGAAGCCTCTCATTATGTAAGTTTCTCCAGTCTTACTTTATTTCTATTTTGACCAATACATGTCACCTTCGGCCCTCTGCTTGCAGTCACTCGTCAGCGCTATTGTCTCCCTTCAGAGTGACAGACAGAAGTTTACACCAATACTAAACAACAGGTAAATTTTAATCTTTAAGCGTTTTAGATAGTACACTAATTTGAATTTAGTAACAGTAAACATTTACCAGATGCGTTGTCTTAGAACAATGGCGCAGATCACATGGACTGCCTTTACTTGAAGAGTTTTATGTCCTGGGACATAAGGCTGTGTAGTCCTTGTATCCCAGAAAACAGAACGTTTCATAACCACCTCTGTGAGGACCTCAAATTTTGTCTCTACTTTTCTGTTATATCAGTTTCCACCTTCGCATTGGCTTATATAAAAGTTACTCCGAATTCTAAATATAACATTAAAATACAAGCAGAATTACTGAGGTTTTTGACTTTTTCCATCGTCCAGAATTCTAGGTAATGGAGGACACTCTAGGTAACAGGACACGACGTTTCGGAAAGTGGATCTGTTTCCCTTTCTCACCTGAAGACGGAAACAGATCCAGTTTCCGACACGTCGTGTTCTCTATTACATAGAGTGTCCTCTATTACCTAGAATTCCGGACAATGGATAAAGTCCAAATATCCAGTAATTCTGTGTGTCATCCACGTTGTCAGAACCCTTTAGAATCTACATTAGCAAAATATGTCCAGGAAGTATTACACAGAAAAATAGCACCGTTAATTGTTCGCTTTGAACGCATATGCCTACACTGTTATATCACGCAGGCCCTAGTATCTATTATAGTTTTCTTATGCTATAACGTCTGTTTCCGGCTAGAGCAGCTCTATCCTTAGTATGTTTGCTCCTCCGATTCTGTGCAGCAACTCTTTCACGCCCAGAGTGCGTAAAATTTAACTCTATTCGTTGCATACAGAAAATCACAATCCATGGACTTGTGAAAGAGGCTTTCGGCCTTACAAAGTTGTTCTTCCCTCAGAAAAAAAAATGAATAATTTATTTCTTTATGCCCAGACATGTTTTGTATTTATTACTAGACAAATAAATCGTATATCTGCCGCGCCTGGCTCCGTTGCATTTCCAATCCGAGCTTTATACTTGCCTACCGGTTCTGATATCGGTGATATTCGTATGCCCTGTGTATTTTGCCAGTTTGCCAGTTCGCTGCAGAACATATGACGCGCATGGTTATGATATAAATATTAAGTTTATATGTTACAGCTGAAATTGTTCAGTTTCCCAAAATACAATCAGTGGCTGAAGAAATAAGAAGATAAAGGTGATTACTTCAAGAGAAATTAACCGGGAAATATGTTTATGTATATTGAAGATTTCTGACTTTTAGGGCATAAAGCCGGACAGCCCGCTTCACGCTAATTTCTTGTTTGGCTTTTTCTTCGGCCTTAAAGATGGAGGCCACACGTTCCTCCGAAACGTCCACTTATATTTAACGAAATATATGCCACAAGATAGGGCTTTTCATAACCGCAGCTGAGAGAGCCCTAAATCATACAGTGTTCTGTAAAGTATGCAGATCTTATCTAAAGGTTCGTGTGCCGAAAGGGCAGGTTTCCGGACTTAGATTACAGCATTTTCGAACCGTTTCAAAGCGTCAGATTGCGGTGCTGAACTTGATTTACAACTCGAAATTATCGACTTTCACAGCAGTGGCGAACCTAATTCGAAATCAAAAGTCGACGATTTTCTGAACTTTAAGTATTCTAAGTATCTTACTAAAGACATGTACACAATAGTGTACTTGGTTGAGGTATTATGCTATAAGCCGGAATGTTGCGGGTTTGAATTCCGATGAGGTTATTGGATTTTTCAATTGTCCTAACCCTTCTAGCCACACTATATCCTTGGGGTCGACTCGTCGTCTAACGCAAATGAGTACCAGGAAACTTCCTGGGGATAAAGGTCGGCCGGCGCTTAAGGCTGTCAGCATCACCGCCATATACTCGCGGACTGTCTAGAGAAATTTGGGAGCGTCGTGGTCACACAAACCCCGTGGGCCTCCACGGCCTGCACTAATCTCTGGCAGAATGTGCTTTGTGTACATGTACTTAGAATTCGTGGAAACGTTTTTGCGCTGATGACACAGCATATCAACACAATGGCGCCTGCTTAAAGACGAAGCGTAAAGTGCATTGCGCCTGACTTGAGAAGCTTAGTAATATCCACATAGCACGCGCAGTAGTAGCTACTTTTGGTTACGTATTTTGTTCATTCTTTCACACACAAGAAATTTCGGTGCTAATTGTAAAAATAAAAAAATTATAACTCGGTTTTTTATTAACTATTAAGCAAGTCATCTCTTTTAAATAACCTTAAGTGTTGATACGGCACTGTAAAAGAACCAAGTAAAAATTATTCTTCACGCGACTCGCAGAGAGTTAGGAATTTTCATTGCAACTTTTTCGAAAGAACATCCATATAATTTTCTTAGTGATTGTTACTAATATACAAAATTTTATTCACACTCTTCTCTGATGGTTACTTCTATACATAAGTGAAATTATTGGGATCATCAGTGTGGGTTTCGACGTAACAGATCAACTACAGATCAGATCTTTTGCATTCATCAGATACTGGAGAAAAAATGGGAGTACAATGAGACAGTACATCAGCTATTCACAGACTTCAAGAAAGCCTATGATTCAGTTAGGAGGGAAGTAATGTACAGTATTCTCATAGAGTTTGGGATACCCATGAAACTAGTTAGGTTGATCAAAATGTGTTGAAACGAAACGTATAGTAAAGTACGTGTAGGTAAATATTTTTCTGATAAATTTCCTATCCAAAATGGTCTAAAACAAGAAGATGTTTTATCGCCACTTCTTTTCAACTTTGCTTTAGAATATGCCATTAGGAAGGGCCAGGGAAACCAGGTGGGACTGAAATTAAACGGGACACATCAGCTGTTGGTCTATGCCGATGATGTGAACCTACTGGGTGATAGTGTAGATACCATAAAGAAAATACACAAACTTTAATTGACGCAAGTATGTATATAAATATATATACTATATACTAAGTATATGCTACTGTCTGATCACCAAAATGCAGTTCAAATCATAACATAAAGATAGGAGACAGATGTTTTGAAAATGTGGCACAGTTCAGATATTTGGGAGCGACGATAACAAATCAAAACCTGATTCAGGAGGAAATTAAGAGGCGATTGAAGTCGGGCAATGCTTGCTACTGTTCAGTCCAGAACCTTTTGTCTTCTCGTCTGCGGTCCAAAAACATAAAAACTAGAATATAAAAAACTATAATTTTGCCTGTGATTTTGTATGGGTGTGAAACTTGGTCTCTGACATTAAGGGAGGAACATAGACTGAGGATGTTTGAGAACAGGCTGTTGAGAATATCTGGATCGAAGAGAGATGAAGTGACTGAAATCTGGAGAAAACTGCATAATGAGGAGCTTCACAACTTGTACTCTTCTCTATGTATAATTAGAATGATCAAGTCAAGGAGGATGAGGTGGGCGAAGCATGTAGCACGATTTTGAAGAAAAGAAATGCATATAGGATATTGGTGGGAAAGCCAGATGGAAAGAGACCACTGGGAAGACCAAGGCGTAGGTGGGTGGACAATATTAAAATGTATCTTAGTGAGACAGCATGGGGCTCAGGATAGGGACCAGTGAAGGGTTTATGTGAACACATCAATGAACCTTCGGGTTCCGTAAAATGCTTCTCTAGAAGGGCTCAGCCCCATGAGTGAGTGATTGCTTACCGTTGGAATTACTGGAGTGATAGGCAGGTCGAGTGTGTAAGTGGCGATATCACCAGCCTCCAGAGGACACGCTGAGTCAATGAGCGATTTGCAGGCGTCTGGCTGTGGAAGCGGGTAGTCCACGGTGATTCCGAGCACTGTGGCCTTTACTTTGACGTTCAGGCTTTCAACGCTTTTTTCTGCAACCGACGAAAACTGGTTATGCATAGCTTTGTAAACCATCATAAGCAAGGCCCAGTACTTAAATACACGAGGTCAACTAGTTTAGAATGTGGGTACCAGGTAATTTTAGTGGGACCCTGAAAGCCGGGGAAGAAAAAGGTCATTGTGACATAGCGACGGTCAGTGCCATAACATTATTTGATATGGTTAGGTATGGTATCCATCAACACAACAAAAAGTTTTTCAATCAATTAATATTATTAAGATTGAACTTTATTTCTTATCACGACGTGTTTTGGTCCTCATGCGGCTATCATTAGGCGGTATTATATAGAATACAGCCAAGGTTAATTGAACTTCTAGTATGGATCCATATTCTGGTGCCATTCATGCATATTATACAGTTATAAAAGTTGTAAAAGCTGTACCTTACGTAATGATGAAAATTAAATTTTACCATTAGCAAAATTATCAGAAAAAATATACAGGGAATTTTAGTATTTCAAAATATTGTTGGATAATATTATATCGAAGGTGATTAATGTGTTAAAAGATATTGTATATTGAGAATATAGGATTTTAGAATTATGTATACAGAAGTGAATATTACATAATTATATTTTTTTTATTGCTAGTGGGGTGGGACTAAGTCCCTTGTACTGCAGCCACTTCTGGCCTATTGTACCAGCCCCAGATGATAGGTGAGGGTGATTGTGGAGCAATTGGTGGAATGAAGATTGGCAGGGGAAACCGAAGTACTCAGAGAAAACATGCCCCAGCGCCACTTTGTCCACCACAAATCCCACTTGACCAGACCCGGGATCGAATCCTGGAAGCCGCAGTGGGAAGCCAGCGACTAACCGCTTGAACTATGGCTCTAAAATTATAATAACTAGAAATATTAAAGAATATTTGAACAGTATTAAAAATTATGGAATATGAGGTTAAAATTTCTCATATACAGTTGAATTTCCGATACTGTTTGAATCTACCTTGTTTTTAGCCTCTGACCATGTGGAAATTTTTTTCGCCCGGAGTTGTGTTTTATTAAATCTAGTCATTATTTTACTCGTAAGCTGTTTTACCTATCATATTTTAGGATACGTTTTTCTATCCATTATCTGTAGAATTCGCTTTCCTGGGCTTCTGATATTGTTTGACTACTGTTTCTACTTCTTTATCATGGCCTTCCGGAAGTCAGTTCCTTCGTTTCCAACACTGAAGCAACGGCTGGAACACGGAAATTGTTTTGGCCATGGAAACAGCAGCGAATTGGAATGACTTCCCTTTGACTTGTATGCAGACAGAAAACTCGTCCCGCTGTGCGATTTGTATCTCAGTCTCCGTGGAGTCTATGTAGACCAAGAATTTCTTCGAAGAACTAACCGCCTACTTTTCTTTGCACCACAAGGACCGCACAGAAAAAGAAATAATTAAGGGGACACAAAAACACACAGACGACTCATTGCCTAGCAACGATAAGGGGTCACAGATACACTAATTAAGCCTCATAATATGTAAGATTTAGAGGGGAGGGGCACACAGACACAGAGAGCAAGGAGATTTCATAAACCACCTAATAAAAAATAGGGGGTATACACAGAAGAAGGCACACGATAGCGTAGTTGGTTGCTACAAGCCGGAAGGCGGCGGTTACGTGTCCCGATGAGGTGGAAATCCTTCCAGCCGCAATATGGCCCTGGGGTCGACTCAGCCTCTAACAGAAATGAGTATCAGGAATCTTACTGTGGGGTAAAGGATGACCGGCGTGTAAGGCTAACAACCTCGCCGCCATCTATGAGCCTATTGTCTAGACAATGCGGGAGCCTCTACGTCTCACAACCGTGTGGATCTCCACGGCCTCTTGTAGGGATATTTTTACCTTTATACATATACAGGTGGACAGACACAGAAGGATAGACAGACGGGTAAACAGACAGACAGCAAGATGATTTCATAAGCCTCCTTTCATTTTTTAAAATAAAGAAGATAGGCTAAAACAGGAATTTTACACTGATCCATTGCTGTCAATATCGAAGACTGTCAACCTTATCGAGATAAAATCTGTCTTGTGAACCTGGCTCCTGTCCCTCCCACATTCATTGATAAACACAATTTGTGTTCATTTTGTTATCATTAGAAAATGTGAGCAGATCGAGAAGCTTTCAGATAACCCAAAGAAATGAACTTAGTTGAAACATACGGAGGATGTCGCCGATAACAGAAAAAAAAAAGGATCTTACCCGCCACGAAGTCCACCTCGGCTACAATGTTTTCACCACGCTTAATGATACAGGGCAGCTCGTCACAACCTTTCACTCGAACTTCTATCGGCTTGGGCCCTTTATCGCCTGAAACATTTGTGCGCGTGTGTGTCACTCGCTGCATTGCAGACTTCCACAGACAAGTATGGGAACAATATCTTTATTTGAGGGACTTGGACACCCTACGAAACTTCTTGGCGTTTAATATAAACACATTTGCAAGTTGGAAACCCTGAAGGAAGGAGACCACTTGGAAGTGTTAGATAGCATGACTGTACCGAAATGGGTCTTAGAGAAATGGTTGAAAATGTGTGATTGCATTCGTTTTGCCTCAGGGTACTGGCCAGTGTTGAACGCTTGTAAATTCAGGTAGATGCCTGTTATGCTCTCTTCTCAGCATGACACTGAAGGTTGTGTTATGTGTGATAGGCTCATAATAATCATTGAAATGTCTGTAATTTAACGCAATTTTAATGGTGTGTAAATGAGTTTCGTATTCTCAGTTATAATGTTAATGACAAAATTTGATCTGTTTTGCATACTAAGGATTATATGAACACTATCGCTTTGTGGCCATATGTAGGCTTGCGTATGGCCGTAATATCGCTTGCGCCCGTGAGTTTTCATGGCAGATATCGTTTTATGAATGTTAGTGATGTTTCAAATAAGCGGTGTTTCTTTTTGTTTTTATTGTTCGTTTGTAAGATTATTTTATCATAAAAGAAACTGGATAAATTTGTTGGCGTGTTTATACTTATCTTTTCATAAGTAATTTATGGTCAACAATGATCTCTATCAAAATTTGTATGATTTTTACTCATCTACGGAGACTCTGATAGCCTGTTCTATATTTAGGATCCTAGACCGATGTTTGAAATACGTAAATTAAGTATCGAAAATATCCTAGCAGACTGACCGAACCTTTAACTGTTTTTCTGAAGGCATCTGCTTTGAGTCGTTAAGGAGCACTGATTGTGATGATTGAGGGTTGCCGTGGCTTTTGTTTGATCCTGCAGTGGAATTCCTGGACAGCAGGCTGAATTGTATCGTATTCTCTGAATATAAATTGCATATTCATTGTCCACTACATAACCGCTAGGCTTGAAATATCCTCCACAAATAAAGAACGTTGAACCCAACAACAGAAATTACTACGTATAAATATTGTTAACGGTTTTGATCAATGTTCTGCGAGGCAACAGCTCTGTAAATGCGGTCAAACACACAGCAATAGAGGAAGCTGTGTTTTCTGTAGATCCATGTCCGTTCCGCGGGTGTGTAAGTAAGAGTGATAGAATTCGTTCAAGGCAGTTACAAGTTATGAGTCAGTCGTAAGCTGGAGGAGTGAGTCCAGAAGAATTTTTAGTTCCTTGGTTCCAGAGTGATTGAAGACGAGATAGCAAGAAGATTTCATAGTGATTTGAAGTGCTAGTTTCTTTGTTGAGATCCTTTGCTAGAAGACGACTAATGAAGACTGGGAATCCTAGTGAGTGCAAATTTCTTCGTTTTATGAAAGAAAAATCTTAAAGATATTACTGTTACAAGCACTGGTTCGAGTCCAGGCCAAGTACTTTCAATGCTATTTGTTCCATAAAAGAAAAATTTGAGACCATGACAACTGTGAGAAATGTAGTCATTAAGTAAATGTTACTATTCTCTTGTTCTACTATAAGATAAGGCGGCGTGGCAATGGAAACGCTTAACTTCGACTTGTAAACTTCTGGAGAACATTTTTTCCTGTGAAGATGGAGCTGCCAGATGATGAATGGTTATGGATCAATGCTGGAATGATAGAGAAGGCATAAAGGCATAAATTATCATTTTTACTAATCAACCTAAAGGTGTTTTATGCAGGTAATAAACTATCCATTACTACTATCACAAAACACGGAAAAATAAATATAATTCCTCAAATTACAGTTTAGATTTCCTGCACGGGAATAGTATATATATATATATATATATATATATATATATATATAGTAAGGTTATGCATGTATGAAAGTGTTGCTTACATGTGCGGAAATTAGTTGCCATGGCTGAAGACACCAGGACAGCCACAATTAGTATTCTGAGAGACATCTTCCTTTTTTCTACTCTTCTTTGCTGCAGCTTCTGATGTTTCGGCAGAGAGTGATTTGCTCATGCTCAGGTTGTGCCTTATATACACAAACATTTTAGTGATTACGAGATGAAAGAATGGAATACGGACCGAACCGATAAAGTCGTTGTAATCACAGTGAGATATGTCGCGATTTTTTTTTCAATATTATGTCACAGTAATTCATAATACTTGTGACAGGGAGATAACTGACTGAATATTGAAATACCTATTTCATCGTCAAGGCGTCGAAAAGAAGGTGCAGAATTGTACAGATTATATTGAAAGTATGAAAGTATGATAATGTGACAATGCATAATGTAAGAAAAGAAAATTCTGTGAAAAATTAATCGCCTAATTTCTTTTCATATATTGAATATTTGATATGACATGGACTAAACAGAAGACACCGGATCCAACAGTTTTTCTATTGTTGCGTATATATTCGTTGCCGCGGGAACTTGGTTACATATCTTTTGCCTAGCAACGGCTGTCTCTTCTGGCTTCACTATTTCGGCTTATTAATGGGGACACATACACGGCAGAATAATCTCATGAAATTTCCATTTGTTCTTCAAAATAAGAAAAATAGTCTTAAACGATAATTTAAACCGGTCCAGAAAGTTTTCACCGCTCTCCTCATTCCCATTGGTTCTCTCAGGTTCGTTATATCCGCCATCTTTATCCCTATTTTTTTTCCTTGGCACTACAGCCCCAGTAGGCCTAGGCCTACCTCCATGAACTTCTCCGTTCACTTCGGCTTTTCTAGATCTTACACATTCGGTAGGACTCCTTGGGCGGATGATCAGCTCGTCGCAAGGCCTCCACCTATACACAAACACAGAAAAACGCACACACACACACACACACACTAAACATCCATGCCCTGAGTGGGATTCGAACCCACGATCCCGGTTTCCAAGTGAGCGAAGTCAGTACATGCCTTAGACCGCTCGGCTACCGTGACCGGCATCTTTATCCCTATACCCATATCAATTCCTTTAGAGGCTACTTTGAGAAGGAGGCAAGTGCCAAGAAAGAGACTGGAACTATTCGTAGAAGAAATTCCATGGTAGGCAGAAGCAAATATTTGGTCATGCACCTCGAAAGAAGCTTGACATGGAAAGCGCACATTAGAGCTATAGAAAATAATGCAATGCAACGCTTTGTATCGTTCTGATCTATCTTCAAATCTCGTACAATTAACAAGAAATTAAGAACTAATTTATTCAGATCACTAGTCCATACGATTCTACTACATGGAGCTCCCGCATGGAGCTGTGAGGCCACAAGCAATGTGAAGCAACTGCAAGTCAATCAGAACAAAATTCTGCTGAGTAACTATGACGGGGACAGATATACACGGTGTGTCCAGGATCCGTTAGGACTCATTTCTTTTTAATTTTTCCCTGCAAAACCATCTGTTGGCGAGTTGTGGCGTTAAGATTCTTGAAGTTTCAGCTGTGGCTGTCTTTAATTTCAAAGCGCAAGCCTCGCTGCATCATTTATTGTGACCTTGAATGTAACAGTACTGTTCTGACGCTCGTCGGAAGATGGCGGTTGAACAGAGAGCCAACATAAAATTTTGTTTGAAGCTAGGCAAAACAGCCGGAGAAGCGTACGAAATGATGAAAAGTGTGTACGGTAGTGATCGTTTAGGTCGCTCGAATGTTTTTCGATGGTATGCTGTATTTCGTGACGGCAGGGAGGACATTGAAGACGCTCCACGTGCATCAGAACCGAGAACAAGTCGCACTGAAGAAAATGTGAAAAGGTGACCGAAATCCTTGCATCAGATGTGTTTCTGCAAGACTGACCGAGAAGCTTTTGGGAATACCAAAAAGTGCTATGCATCAAATTTTGACCGATGATTTGGGCAAACGGAAGGTCTGTGCGCGGTTTGTACCTCAAACGCTGTCAGACGACGAAAAACATGCCAGAGTGGAACACTGCAGAGACATGTTACGGTCGGCCCAAAGTGATACAAAATTTCCAAAATTAATTGTTACTGGTGACGAGACATGGTGTTTTCAATATGAGCCTCTCACAAAGCGACAAAGTGCAACGTGGTTGAGCCCAAAGAAAGTGTGCATGCAGAAGAGTCGAGTAAAGACACTGCTAACCGTTTTCTTCGATTCCAAATGAATCATTCACAAGGAATTTCTGCCAGAAGGTCAAACAGTGAATTCTGATTATTATCTTGGAGTCCTCAATGGTTTGTGGGCGAGACTTCTTCGACTTCGACCTGAATATCGAGAGCAAGGTTCCTGGTCGCTCCTCCGCGACATGCCCCACCCCACAAATCGAAGATCATGCGCGATCCGTATTCGCCAGATTTGGCTCCAGCAGATTTCTGGTTGTTCCCAGAAGTTAAGTTGGCGATGAAAGGAGACCGTCACGACACCATCCAGGACATCCAAAGGGATTGTACCTCAGTTTCAAATGCGATTCCACAATAGGAGTAAGGTGACTGTTTTCGAAAACTTTTCAATCGATTCTAGCTATATATTGATTCAGAAGCAGACTATTTTGAGTAAAAAGAGTTAAATTTTGAACATAATTCACGTCTTGTATTTTTAGTAAACACAGTCTTAACAGAACCTGGACACACTGTGTGCATGAAGTTCATCAATCCACATAGCGCTAGGGGCCAGAGCCTTAAATGATGACATCGAAACAACATCCGCAAAACTATACCAACGCATCTCGCAACACAACCCGATCATAGCAGCAGTAGGGAATTACAAAATCCACGTGCCCTGCTCCTACACGAGGCCACAGCAGATGTTGCAGTAAGAGGCAGCCTGCGAGTGACTCATTAGTGCCAAAGTATCAGCTTACAAGAGCAGCATCAGAATGTGAATATCACATCTGAGAAGCCAGGGTCTCCAGTGTGACCGATGCTTCTGTCCACATATCATGACACAGCCGATTTCTACTTTCAAGATGGTGATAGGATGTTCCTCCATAACGTCGTTAAACATCTAGTACACTGCAGGGGGCTACATCACAAAACACAGTAATGTTCATAGTCATTCTTTTTTAATTCACATAATGGGGGTTGGAGACCAGCTGGTTTCACTCGGCACGTCGGCCACTGAGTGGCCTATTTTAGCTGCTCCGGGTGATTATGATGATGGAGAATTTGGTGGAATGAAGATTGGCAAGGGAAACCGAAATACTCGGAGAAAACCTACCCCAGCGCCACTTTGTCCACCACAAATCCCACTTGACCAGACCCGGGCTCGACGCCAGCGACTAACCGCTTGTGCTATGGCGCGGCCAATGTTCATAGTAACTGCCGTGAGAAGCTCACACCTCACAAACAAAATCATGCTTTATTATTTTTTGTCTTTCTTATAAGCGCACCCTTTATGAATAACAGAATTAGGCGAGTTCTTGTATTAACCGTGTCACCCAAACCCAGGCTTCGAATTTTGGAGCACATTATCAGTGACTCAGTATCGTTAACTTATCTTGTCCACGTCGAAACATTTTGCATTTCAGATTTAAGTTTGGAGTGCGTAAGAATTGTAGAGTGAAATAGAAATTTCCCTCACATTTCTTTACTTGTCCCACAACACAATTAACTAAATCAATGGGACAGAGTCATTCTCAAAAAGCTAATATTCCCTCAGTTACGCAGTAAATTCTCTGTCCTCCATGAATTTATTACCGTGTTCACAAGAACCCACAACTGGACTCTCTTTTACTCCAGTTGAATCACATTTACCTTGTAATTTTTTGAGAGCAGAGTCNTACTGTCGCCATACTTTACCAGTACTGGTGCGTGCTATCAGTCCCGTTCAGCCAACGAGGTCGGCCCTCGGTACCTGATATTTCCCCCATCTACCAGAGGCATTGCCTAATTTTGCTCAGACGTTTCCTAGAGGCATGAGGATCTTTTACGTGCCGTAAATCTACGACACGGGACCCACGGCTTAAAGTCCCTCCCGGAGGACTTGTTCCTTGAATTTTTCCGCCCTTAAAAATTCCACGACCTCCGCCGCGTTTGGACCCGCGTACCTTGAGTCATGAGGTGGAAACGTTACTTATACTAACATATACTAATAATAATGCTGTACTACAGTGTATAGCAGACTGTAGTCCGTGGACCATTGGTAGTCTGTGGCGGTTCATCAGATGATCGGTAGTGTTATACTGGGTATTAGGAAAGAGTTACAGGATTCTAGAGGATAGAGTATTCACCTAAATAAGCAAAAAAATATTTCCAGTCAACATATGTCCAGAAACCACTGCCCACTGAGATGTGGGCTTGTTCGTGTGATCTCCACAGCAGGCGCTTCTTGTGGTTCCCATGCATTCCAACACAACTTTCAGCTTTTCGACACACAGAGGGGCGCACTCAGTCGCAAATTCCTGGTTTCATTCGAATCTCGTGACATGCATTCTTTACTGAATTCTGGAATTGCTCGGCGCTGAATACACCGAAGTTTTAGGAAACCCCACAGCCAAAAATTCATAGGATTGTCAGGGAATCGTGCAGGCCACATGACTCGGCCTCTGCACCGTATCCACTGTTCATCGAAGTCTGGTTCAGGTGCTGCCTGACAATTCGGTTCATACATGAACCTTGATGAAGAGGCACATATTACATGAGTTCTGCTAAGTCAGTCACTAAAACGATGGTACACTGCAATTGTTATTCTGTTTGGTAAGGCGACTGCTCTCAAATGTTGACCACATGAAGTTTCCACCCAGGCATTGATGGAAAGTCGATGTTGATATCTTGATGCCACGTCAGTATGGAGATTGTCATCCCCTCCAGACATGGGTATTATGAAACCTCGCAGTACCGTCCCCTGTGAATCTCACCTCCTCAGTACTATAAACTGTGCGCTTACAATGCATTTTGAGAGAAGTCACTGACGAAACAACGCCCTTACTCGATGGTCTGGAGGAGTGAGGGCTTTAACTCGCTGGATGTGACATGCATAAAGTGGCTGTTTATGAAGAATTCTCCAGACCAGGGGACTACTA